GGGGCCTAGCAAGGCCAACCCCGAGTCCCTGGGGGTGTGACCCACCCAGGGCACGGCGGCGTGCCCAGGAGCAGGTGACTAGGGAGGCTGCACATGGGTCAGAAACACTGGTATTGGGCATGTGCAACGACATGGATGGACGTCAAGGACACTGTGCTAAGTGACATGAGTCAGACAGAGAAACCTTACAACATCGCTTCTGTGGGGGATCTAAAAAGGCTGAACTCACGGAGAGAGACCGTAGACTGGTGGTCAGCAGGGGCTGGGAGAGCGGGGAGATGTTGGCTCAGGGCTCCAGATTTCCTATTAGAGGACCGTGATTACGGCATGGTGATCACGGTAATAACATCGTAGGACTTGCTAAGACCGTAAATCTTAAATGTTCCCACCACAAAGAAGAAATGGTAGTTAGGAGACCTGACGGAGGCGTTGTGACACTGTGGTGGCAAACATGTCGCAGTACACACACACTCACACGCACACACGTGCACGCGCACACACATACACATGCATGTGCACACACGCACACACGCACTCACATGTGCACGCACACACATGCGTACGTGCGCACACGTGCACATGCGCACACACTCACACGCACACGCACACACAGGCACGCACACGCTCACACACACGTGTATGCACACACACGTACACATACGCGCACACACACGTGTGCACACACGCACACACACTCACATGTGCACGCACACACGTGCGTACGCGCACACACTCACACACATGCACACACGCATGTGCGCACACATACACACCCACGCGCGCACACACACACGCACGCACATGCATACACACACGCGCACACGCACGCACACACGCACGCGCACACAGTGTCAGATCAACGCGCTGTAACAATGCTCCATGTCGATTGCATCTCGATAATGTGCGCATACACACGCATGCGCGCGCACATACACGCGCACGCGCACGTGCACGCATGCGCACACGCGCACACATGTGCACGTGAACACGCACACGCGCGCACACATGCACACACATGTGCATGCGAACACGCACACACACGCACGCACGCGCACACACGCACACACATGCGCACACACACGCATGTGCACACACTCACATGTGCACGCACACACGCGTACGTGCACACGCGCGCACACGCGCACACGTGCAGACACGCACACACACGCACGCGTGTGCACACATGCACACACGCATGTGCACACACATACACACATGCGCACACACGCACATGCACACACTTGCACACACACATACACACATATGCACACGCACACACACGCGCACGCACACAGTGTCAGATCGACGCCCTGTAACAATGCTCCATGTCGATTGCATCTCGATAAAGTCGGGAGCAGAGAACGAAAGATGCGAGTGGCTCTGATTCTCCGGTCCGCCGCTGGCCGCAGACTAGTTTTTTTAGAATTTCCATCTTCCACCACCCACCCAGGCTTCCTGTAGCTAATGGGTGACCTAAGCCTTTATTTCTGAGCGCCTGAGCTTTCGGTGGTCTTATTTTTTTTTTTTTTTAGTTTCTACAAGTTTTCATTAACTTTTATTATCGGGCCTGTGGGCAGGAAGAAGCCCCACAGAGAGCCCCCAGGCCGCAGATGTGTCCCCTCCGCCTTCGCTGTGTGGCAGCACCCCGATCTCCCCTGGGGAATCAGGAGCACACCCCAGCTCGTAGAGCGACCCCATTTCTGTCCATTTGTTCCGTGGAGTGAAGAGCCCCAGGTGGCCAGGTGACAGGTGGAACCACTCCTGTGCCTTCTTGGAGGGCTCCTGCCTTGGGACTGCAGAGCTCAGGGCTGCAGGGAACGAGGAACCGGTCTGGGGGAGCGTGTGGGGGCAGCGGGGGCTGGGGCAGGGAAATAGGGGTTCTTAGATGTAGCAGGGAAGGAGCCATCCGCCCCTCCGTTCCCACGCCCGCCCCGCCCGCTCCACCTGCCATCTCTCGTCTCAGGTGCGGTGAACACGCCGCGCACTGGGCTTCGGCCTCACGAGACGAGATGGGACATCCAGCTCGTCCCTGAGCTCCGAGACATCCCAGAGACGATGTCTGGAACGCTGAGGGGCAGGGAAGGGGTTGTGGGGAGAGGGGCTGCTTTAGCAGTGGGGTAGGCATCAGCAAAATGCAGATTTAGTTTGACAAGGGCACCGATTTTTTAGTCCAGGCTGTGGTGGCCCTGGAAAATGCAGGTGACACATGCCATGTAGGGTGTTTGGGGGAAGCCCGGGGCAGCGAGTCCAGGGGCGACGCCTGACACAGTGGGGGGGCGGGGGGAGCAGGTCCTAAGTTGAGGACCAATGTTCTTCGTGGAGAGAAGGGAGAGCACACCCCACGGGAGAGGTGAGCAGGGGCAAAGGCCTATGGGAGGGCGAGAGATGTCCCTGCAGGAGCCTGCAAGGCTCGAAGTAGAAGACTGGGGGTGGGGGCGCCCCAGGAAACGGAGAGGGCGAGGGTGCTGAGTCCGGTCCGCACGCCGGGGGCCAGGCTGGGATCCATTGCTCAGACCCACCCGGAAGGGGTGCAGGAAGGGGGCGCGCCTCAGGGCTGCGGTCACCAAGGCTGGCTGTGGCCGGAGCCATCGGAGAAGTGCTGAGTCTGCACAAAGCCACCGAGAGGACGGGTGACGGTGGGGACCCTGGCTCAGGGAACCACAGCGGCCACGTGTCCACCGTGCAGGGAAATTCCAGGCGCCCGCGCCACGCCCGATGGGGCCACGCCACGGGCTCACCCGCCACCCCCCGCATCACGCCGGGCGGGGCTCTCGGCCAGCATGTCACGCTCAAGCAGTGAAAAGGCATCGGGTCTGCGGCTCAAAGTGCCGCCAAATGGCCAAGCACCGTGCTGGGCGCCACGGGGTCCGGCCCTGGTGGGACTGCTGTCCTCTCCCAGCTCCTTCAGGGACGTGGCCGGCTTGCTCCCCCAGCGGCCCCACTGCTCTCAGAATCAAGTGCAAGCTCCTCTCTGGGGCCCGGCGCCCTTGGCCAGAACTCACGTCTCCGGCCTCATGTGTCCCTGGCCACACCGTGCCACAGAGAGCCACCCTTGGCTGTCCAGGGCCTGCCTCCCCTCTTCCCAGGGGTGTGGGACCTTCAGGACAAGCTGAGTGCTGGCGGGTGGGTAGGTCCATGCCACCATCAGCGTCCCCTGGCCGGTCTTCGGCGGTCCCCACGACCTGGTGAAGAGGGCACGCTAGCGGGCTTGAGAATGAGGGCTAGCATAGTCCCGCACGAGCACCGAAGTCCAAGCCCGTCACACAAACGTCCGTCCACCAGCGCGGCTTTGGGTTTGCCTCCTGTGGGAGCCGTTCGTGACCCGCTGGACCAGTCGGCCCGCTGCCCAGCCAGCGTCCTCTAGGAAGGTGGAAGAGTCCGGAACCACGTGGCAAGGTGTCCCCCGGCCGCCAGGGTCTGGTCACGTGCAGGGCGCTGGGCGACCTCCATATCCCCAGCTTCCACCTCGTCCCTGGTGGCCGGCCATCCTCCCGTCCCCACCCACGACACGCGGCTCGGCTGCACACCCAGAGAGGGGCTCCCTGGGCGCGGGGACCCGCACAGGTGTGGGGATTTTTCCTTCCTTCCTTTTTTAGTACGAATGTCTGTGTTTTAGTGGGAAACGTGCCTTTCTAATTAATAAAATAGAAAAGGAAAAAATAACAAAAAAGTTTCCATTTATAGGAAATGTCTAGAATGGGCAAATCTATAGAGGCCGAAGTGGATTCTCACGGTTTCAGGGATGGGAGGAGGGGAGGGAGCGATAACTAGGGGGCCTGGCACTTCCCATGGGGGTGACGAAACATCCCCAAGTCCACTGAGGTGACAATTGCGCGTCTCTGTGAATGTACTAAAAATCGCCGACCCACGCGCTTGAAAAGTGTGACTTGTGCGGCATGTGACTTGTGTCTTCACAAAGCCGTTATATTTTTAAAATCCAAGGTGAGGGCTGTGTTGGAAACTAAGGTTTTGAAGGTGGAGCCCTTTCTGGCAGTACGAGAGCGGGGTGTGGCGTGGGGACCCTGGGGACCGTGGGGACCGCAGGGACGGAGGAGGACGTCCTTTGGCGGGGGAGGAGCCCGGGGACAGGGACCCGGATGTGGGTGCGAAGCCCACGCAGAGTCTGGGGCTTGATGGGGGAAGGAGCGGGGCTGGGGCAGGGGAACGGAGGGGAGGGTCTGGAGGGTCGTGTGTTTAAGATACAGACTCTGTCTGCAGGGATGCGAGGCCGGAAGTGTGTAGTCCTCGAGGATTGCCATTCGGGCGGAGAGGTCAAGGTCGGGGGCTGGTTCTTTACCGCCCACGCCTCCTGCAGGGTCTCCCAGTGCCAAACAAATGCTTCCCCGGCACGTGCACCCAGTGGCCGCCCCAGTTCCAATGTCCAGTGTGGCCAGGCTCTGGGCTCCAAGGCACAGGCAGGGCCCAGGGAGGGGCTACCCGGGCAGAGGGACCCACGCAGGCTCCGGAGGAAATAGATCCGAATTCGCGTCTCGGTGACGTGGTCTAGGTGAGTCCCTTCACCTCTGTCTCAGGTCCTCGCCTGTAAAATGCGGACCTTCTTGTGTGGACATAAAGGAGACAATGCTCAGCACGTAGTAGGCACTTTAAAAAAATGGCGAATGCCTACAGTGCTGAGTTCTCCTGGTGAATCTGTTTCCTGTCAGGGTCTGGCTGGGCACGGCCCCGTACAACAGTCTAAGTCGCAGTCACCGTGGAACCCCAGACCACATTGACTTCGGCATTACAGGGGATTTGCTGGCTCAGCTGACCGAGAGCTGAGAAACCAACAGCTTCAGGCACAGCCCGATCCAGGCTCGAGACCGGCTTGCTTTCCCCCTCCTCTCGGCTCCACTCCTCGGGTGCCTGTTTCCAGGCAGACTCTCCCCTTAGGGTATCCGTGGGCTGCCGGTCACAGCCTTTCCTGGTCCACACGCCGAGGCAGAGTCTGGGCCAGGGAAGAAAACACAGCTCCAGCCAAGGTCTCCTTGTGTGGAACTGGCTCTCGCTGGTTAAAGGAGTCACCCTAAACCAGTCACTGAGGAAGGGGGGCGGGATATGCCGATCAGGGCTCATCCCGAATGGCTGGGGTTCAGTCTCACCTGAGTTTCATGATCAAGGACCAAGGACGGGGAAAATGGGGAGCAGACCCAGAGGGGTAGCAGGATCTGCCAGCCGAGCTGGACAGTGCCACAGGGGGGTCTGGGAGGGGCGCCCCAGTCCAGGCTGAGCGGCCGAGGCCGCGTGGGAGCCTAGCCTGGCAGGAGTCATGTGGCTGCCAGCTGCCCACAGACGGAGTGCGCTAGTCCCACCCCCCCCGATAAGCCAGGGCCGGCTGTGTGGCCCTGGGCAAGTCACTCCACCTCTCTGAGCCTCGATGTCCTTCCCTGTGACACGAGGTTGGTAGGTGCCCCTCGGGGATGCTGCAGGGGCCACACCGCACCTGGGCACAGAGCATGGCAGGCACCCAGGGGACGGCAGGTGTCAGGCCGCTGGGGGTGGGCCTGGGGGGGATCTGTGCCCCATCAGCAGCGTCACAGCTTTGAGGGGAGCCCCAGAGGACCACCAGGCGGCCTCTCCACCCCAATTCTGAGAGGCCTCCGCCTTGCCTCATCTGCAGTCCAGCGGGACCCCGGGACCCTGGGGACACAGCTCGGACCGCCCCCCATCACTGCTGACAGCCCGCCCGATCCTGACAGCCTGGGTGGCCAGGGTGACTGTGTCAGAGCATCGACCCCCCAGCTCTGCAGAGGACGGAAGGGGACCCCAGAGGCTGAGACCAGCGGCTCCTCAGAGGACGAGGACGAGCGGCCCCCAGGACAGCTGCACGGTCAGCCAGGAGGGTGCGGCTGGCCGCCTGGCTGGACAGGACGTACCCTCCCAGAGCGGGAGGCTGCTCCGGTCCAGGAGAAGGTTCACGGCCAACTCGTGTCGGGGAGGGGGCGGGGTGCGGCTGATTTCCAAGAAGGGCTGGGGCTGCAGACACCCAGAGCTGACGGCCGTTGTCTTGTGCGAGAGAGCATCGCGCAGCTGCTGGCCCCGGTTGCGTCACCCTAGTCGGCTGGCCCCTCCGGCCACTGCCCACTCCCTCCAGCCTTGTCTGGGCTCCGGTCTGAGCCTCAGCCTCAGCCACTTCCAAAGCGGCTTTGCACTCGAGGCACAGGTGGCACCGCCTGGTTGCAGTCCCCAGTCCATGGCTTGCTCGGCTCGTCCCTGAACCTCTCTGTGCCCCGCCTTCTTCGCCTGCACGGTGGGGGCATTGGTGACGGTGCCTCCTCCAGAGGGAACGATCATGGTCAGACACACACGGTTGGTGCCTGACATGCAGCCGAGACCGGGCAGCGGCACCCCCGGCCGTCACTCGGCCTCCCCTCCGTAAAGCGGACGTGGAACGGCGTGTGGTGCTGGGGACAGCACGGGCTTTGGGGTCGGATAAACTGTTTTCTAATCCTGGGTCCACTATCTAGTGGCTTAGGGGCCTTGGGAAAGTCACGCAAACTCTCCTAGCCCAGTGTTGAGAGATGGGATAACCAGGATCCCCACCGGACCCTAAAAACAAAAACAAAAGCAAACCTCCCCCCCTCTTGCTGCAGAAAGGGCAGGTGGGGGGCAGGCAGGCGGCAGGCGGGGTAGCAGGCGGGCTCCAGGCGTGGCCGGCTCCCCGTGCTGGGACTGTGCCCCAAGCTCACGCCCCCAGGCCACTGGCCCCTTCCCACGCCCCGCTGCCCGCTGCTGCCTCCGCCTTGCTCCCTCTGCCCCTCAGAGCCTGTCCGCTCTCACTCAGCCCTCGGCTCCTGCCTTTGTCTTCCGTGCTCCATAGCGAGTGATCGCGAACCTAGTGGCTTCAAACAACGCGCATCATCGTCTCGCAGTCTCTGTGGTCAAGAGCCAGCACGCGGTGGCTGGTCCCAGCTCAGGGCCTCGCCAGGTGCCGGCGGCCGCATCCCCGACTGGAGGCTCGGCAAAGCCACGTCCAGGTCTGAGGGGTGTTGGCAGAACTTGGTTCCTTCCGGTTGTAGGACTGAAATCCCTGTTTTCTCGCGGGCGGTCGCCCCAGGCCCCTGCCTTGTGGCCCCCCTGGGCCTCTCACACTCCCAAGCTCTGTACTGGGAGCCTCGGACTTCGGGCAGGGCCCAGTCCCGTGCTGTGCCCCGGGGCACATGACTCCCCCTCCCTGCGCTTGGGCCGCCCCACCTGCCAGATGGAGGTCCTGACAGCGCCGACGCCACAGGCTCCCAGGAGCAGTGCCCGGCGCACCCTGGGGCTGTGCTTGTCCTTCTCCCTCTGTCCCAGGGGCCAGCGGCCAGGGCGAGGACGGGGTACAGAGGGACAACCCCTCTCAGGGGGCCTTACTTCCTCCGAGTACGGTTCGTGCCAAGGGGAGGGTTGCAGGCAGCGTGTCCAATGGCCCCCTCCCCAATCTCGCCCCGAGCAGGGCCCGCCCTCTGAGTCACCCACGAATGTTGGTTAACGAGTTGTATCCAAGACCGAGGCGTGGCTGGGGCTGGTCCTCGAGGTCCCCAAAGTGACGTAAGCTATGACCTCATCTGATGCGAAACCCAGGCCTGGACGAGGGCCGGGTCAAAGGGCAGAGCCTGGTCAGAGCCTGGAGAGTGTGACCTGAGGACAGGGGCGCAGCCCTGCTGTCCAGCTCCGGGCAGAGGTCACTGTAGCAGTGGCCAACGCCCAGCCTGACCGCACTTGGAAACGAGATGCCGACCCACTCTTCCACAAGGGGCTGCGTCTGGACCGGAATCGGCACGAGGGGCTCAGGCTATGGGTCATGTCATGGCTGCAGCCTGGTTACTCCTGATAGCAAGGTGTCCTCTCTGCCCCAGAGTTTTGGGGTGTTCCCTGGAGGGCACTTCCCATGAGCTCACAAACGAGGCAGAGTGTGCAGGTGGCACCACTGCCTCCGGCTACTGCTGCTCTGCTGCTTGCCCAGGGTGCCCGGTCCTCTGGCGCCAGAGTTCACGTGGGGGCAGCCCACAGGACCCTTCGGTGCCAGGCCGTGGGGAGAACGCCTCGGTCCCGAGCGAGTTTGTCAGAGGGTCCCAGAGCACAGTGTCTGGGCCCTCGCCGACGTGGTTCTGAAGTACCTCAGTCTGGGCCCTCGCCGACGTGGTTCTGAAGTCCCTCAGTCTTCGCAGCCCTGTGTCCTCCTCTGGAACCTCCTCGCCCTGCTGCGTCGTGTGCACAGCTCACCCGGCTGACCCGAATTTTTTCCTTGAACAGGTTGGCGGAGCTCCCTGCCTTGGGTGAAGTGTCAGACAGGACAGGGGTGGAGACAGCATGCTCGTGCGTGAGTGGGTGAGGCCACGTCACTTCCCGCCAGCCTCGGTATCACCGGCCCCTGCCTCTGAGTTAGCTTCCAGATCATTCCACCACACTCGGGCAGGACTGCGGAGGTGCTCGCTCTCACCTCCCCTAGGAAAATCCGAATCGCCGGCCGACTGACAGAGCTTCTCGTGGGATTCCTAGGCTGTTTCGCCCCTGGTCCCCATTGAGGAATATTCTGTGGGGAGCTACATGGGACTCACTGTGCAGGGTGTCAGGACATTCCGCAGCGCCCTGTTTCCGAGGCTCCCTGGGGGACCCAGCTCCCCTCTCAGTAAGGGGGAGGGTCAGGCTGCTTTGGAGCCATGAGGTGTTCTCATCACATGGGCGTCATGGTTCCCTCTTTGTCCTGGCTGCCAGGAAGCTCAGAGCCGAATTTGCGGGCACGCCCATAAAGTACCGTCTCATGACGAGAGTCTACACATTAACCTCATCTTGGGCTCCCATTGCGTTTCTGCCACTCTGTTTTGCTTCATTTTTTTTCTCTCCCGCCCTTTTTCTATTGTTCTTCTTTGTAAAGAGTCTCAAATATTTGGGCGGGGACGAAGGGGGAGTGAAGGATAAATTAACTAAGTGAAACAAGCCTCCCAGCGTTTGCTGGAGAATGAACTCGGATGGCAGGGGAGAGGCCCGGTGCGGGGCCTGGGCACACTAGCAGGACCTAACCTGGGAGCCTGGCCTGAGGACAATGCGCCTCCTGTTCCGTGTGTCCTGACACTTCCTTAAAGCGTCACCTGGGCCCTTGCTAGGACTTCGGGGATGCTCACCCACAGGACGGGCGGGGCTCTGGGAAACCTCAGATCCCCCGGAAGCCCCTGAGGGTGTCTTTGCTGAGTCGGCAGCAGGAAGGAGCTGAGCTGAGCGGCAGGGGGTGGATTCTGGAACAGGATTCCCTTTCACTGGACAGAGGGCAGAGCGCACTGGGCATCAGGCCAGCCCACGCTCGCTGCAGCCTCTGGGATCCCGCCGGCCACCCACGTCCACCCGTGTCCAGGAAGAACACAGGAAACTCCCAGGATTCCCCACCGCTTCCTGGTGGAGAAGGGGAGCCACCGTGTGCCCTTTCACTCTGGGCCTCAGTTTCCCCATCTGCACAAGGAATCAATATCCCCTTGGCAAGGTGGTTGTCAAGGTCAGATCGAGTGACCGCTGGGGGGCCATGTTCTTTTGAAGGGAAGAACTTGGACTTGACTGGCAGAAAGACCCAGAGCTGAGTCCCAGGCTGCCGTGTGCTGTGGCCTTCGCCTTCCAGAGCCTCCTTCTGAGGAGCCACGACTCCTCTGTCTAATAACACGTGCGGAGCAGCGCAGTGGCCTGGGGGCCCACGAAGCAGCAGGTGCCACCTGCAAACCGGAGGAGGCACGCAAGCTCCGCCTGCAGCAGCAGCCCGCCCCCCACCCGTGTCGCTGAGGCTGCTTCCCCATCCACGCAAGGAAGGTCTAGACGACATGAGCTCTGCCCCTTCCCGGGTCCCTGCTGGTCTGTGCCCCGAGAAGCCAGGCGTGCTGGGACGGGTGTCCCCGGTATGGGGTCCCCCTAAAGAGTCTGCTCTGCATCACGAAGCCCCCCAGGATGTCCTGGACCTGCGGGCCACTGCCTCTGCCCTGCAGGCCTAAGCCTGCCTATTTTGCAGGAGATGCAAACCAGGCCCCCTGGCCAGTGTTGGGGGAGGCCCAGCCCAACAGCTGGCGTTCTGGGTCATTCCATAGACCGTTCCATGCGAAACTCTCCACATCTTCCAAGCACATGCACTTCCGGCTTTTCTAGGCAGAAATCCATGTCCTACTGCCCTTTGTCGAAGAGGAAACCTCGGCCCCCTTCATGCCCCATCCCCCAGTGCCCGTCCGCGCTCCTGCCCACTGCCCCTCTGGGCCCCTGCGGGTGCTCATGCCCAGCCCCCAGCTCCTCCCGCCCGTGTCTCTCCCGTCTGAGCCACTTCCTCCAACGAGCCTGTCTGATCCTTCTGCGGGCAGTGCCCAGTGCTTCAAGGACCCCAGGGCCCTCACTGGGGATGGGACCCACCCCTCCCCACTCCTCCAGGCCCCACCTCCGCCCCAGCTCCCTCTCCCTCCTCTGAGCCAGCGGGTCTAACCTCCTGGGTGTCCATAAACTTGGATGGAATCACCGTCTTTATTCTCACCAACACCTCCCCTGGAGCCCAGCACTTTCTTCAGTGGAGAGGTAGGTCGAGCCACTGTCCACCTCTGACCTGTCACCAAGGGAAAGCACAGGTGTTTCCACACCACCCTGCAGTGCCACGAGCACCTCGAAAAGCCCTTCTGCTCCCCGATCCGCACCGCTTGGGAGCCCCCGGGCTATCCCACCGGCCAGGTGCTTTTACTAAGGTGTGCACATCGTGGATTTATCCGTCGTTTTAGTGAGTGTATTTCGATCGCGTGGTTTCCCTTAGTAATGCTGTGAGGTTTGTTTCAGGCACTTAAAAAACATCGTTCTGACGCTGGGACTTCACCGGGAGGCCAAGGGGCTCCGGGTCTGCAGGTGTCTTCCCCTCCTGAGTCCCTGCCCTGCCCTGCGTCTGCTTCCGGAACCTCTGACTAGGGGGTGACGAGGGCCTGGCGTGTCCTCTTCTAGGCCCCCTGAGTCTCGTTACCCTGTCCACCTCCAAAGGGGGTTCTGCCAGCTCCCCCGACCCCACAGCCCTCATCGCACGGGCTTGACATTCCTGTCGCCAGGTTCGGGCCCCTTGGGGCAGGACGCTGGGTCTGAAGGGGCCCTTCAGAGACTGTGGGGACCAGAGAATGGAACAGCTTCCAGGTCCCGCATGCTGACTGCGTGCCAAGTGCGACGTGCTGGCGAACATGGCACCCCGCATCTGCTCGGTGGGGTCTCCCCAACAGTGCTATGAGATAGCAAAGGGGCTATTCACCCTCCTTTCACGGGAGGGGGACCCAGGCAGAGCTGCGCACCCTGACAGCCTGTCCAGAGCCCGGGAGAGCGCAAGCTTCAGGCTCTCAAGGGGGGAGTCAGGGGTTTGTCCCTAGCAGAGGGGACGTCCATGCAGTGCATACCGTGCTACCCTGTTGTAGTTGTCACGCCAAGTGCTGAGGGCGCCCCAGCTGAGGAGGCCTGGGGCGAGGGGTCGGGAGGGGAAGGGGGAGGGACTGGAGACGGGCTGGGTGAGTGGAGGGGTCCGGACTGGTCAGTTTCTATGGGGCGGAAGGCTGTAGCTCAGGTCGTTGGAACCCTGGACATGGACCTGCCCGGTGCAGGAACTCTGGGAGTGCCTGAGACCTGCACCCTGGTGGCGCCCCCTCCCCACGTCCCTCGCTCACCCCTCTGGGCCACCAGCATGTCCATCTCCCTTTCTACCAGACCAGGCAGGCCCCGTCCTGCGCCGCC